GCTCTCTGTAGAATCAAGTCTGTTCTGTATCCCCTGACAGTGGATCCAAGGTGCAGGCTCTTAGGAACAACTCTGCTTTGTCTACATCTTAGGTTGAAACGGAGATGGTTCCTATAATCCGCTAGTTTCCTTGATTCCCTTTCATACTCCCGCACCAGTTGAAGGGTGTTCCTCCCAAAATGTACGGCAATATGTCTGTGAAGGTTCTCAGTCATCCAGGTCATCCGGTGGTCGACCACGCTGGCGACGAGGAGAAGGTGGCTGAGGAGCAGCTGCAGGACGCGGCATGGGAGCCGGCGGTGGCTGAGGAGCAGCTGCAGGACCAGACCTCTGCCTCACCACTACATATTTCAAGTACAACGAAGGCTTTTACAGACAAAAACATGGCTGTGCCATGGGCTCCCCCGTGTCACCTATTGTAGCCAACCTTTACATGGAGGAAGTGGAAAGGAAGGCTCTTGGCTCTTTCAAAGGAAGAGTACCCAGCCACTGGTACAGATATGTGGACGACACCTGGGTCAAAATCAAGACACAAGAAGTGGAATCCTTCACTGCGCACATTAACGCGGTGGATAAAAACATCAAGTTCACCAGGGAAGACACAAAGGACAACTGTTTGCCTTTCCTGGACTGCGTCGTGCACATTGAAGAGAACGGCAACCTCAACATCGAAGTTTACCGGAAGCCCACACACACGGACCAGTACCTCCTCTTTGACTCCCATCACCCTCTGGAACACAAGCTTGGAGTAATTAGGACCCTACACCACCGGGCAGAACATGAAAGCCCAGCAGAGGATGTACTTCCTGAGGCAGCTGAAGAAATTCAACCTGCCAACACGGACGATGATGCAATTCTACACTGCAATCATCGAGTCCATCCTCACCTCCTCCATCACCGTGTGGTACGCTGGAGCCACTATCAGGGACAAACAGAGACTGCAGCGTGTTGTGCGCTCTGCTGAGAAGGTGATTGGCTGCAGACTCCCATCTCTGCAGGACCTGTACACCTCCAGGACACTGCGGCGTGCAGCCCGGATCTCAGCTGACCCTTCTCACCCTGGACACAGTCTGTTTGACCTGCTCCCCTCAGGCAGGAGGCTCCGGTCCATTCGCATCAGAACCTCTCACCACAAGAACAGTTTCTTCCCCTCTGCTGTTGGACACATGAACAATAACCACATGATTGTCCCCGCCACTAACATATGACCCTACGCTGTGTAACTGCATCATTTCATGTTTGGCACTGATCACCACCTGCACTCATGTATATATCTTTCTACGTAGCACTCATAATTCTTATTCTCATGTATATATCTCATGTATATCTCATGCACATATCTTTCTTTCTACATAGCACTTTAATTCTTATTGTCTGCACTGAAGCACCGCAGCAATTTCCTAATGTTGTAAACCTCAACACCTGGCAATAAACCCATTCTGATTCTGATTCTGATTCTGATTCCCTCTAAGCCTGAAGGAAAAAAGAAGGAACACACACATGTAAAGGAAGCACTCAAAACGTGCGGCTATCCTAAATGGGCGTTCTTAAAGTCAGCAAAGAGGCACAGAAAAGAAGTCCAGACACCAGCGAGGGAGGATAAGAAGGACAGACGCAACAACATTGTCATCCCCTATGTAGCCGGTGTATCAGAGAAACTCAGGAGAGTTTTCTCCAAGCATGACATCCCGGTGCATTTCAGACCCAGCAACACGCTCAGACAAAAACTGGTTCACCCGAAAGACAAAACGCCAAAACACAAACTTAACAATGTGGTGTATGCTGTACAGTGCAGCGAGGAATGCTCAGACCTCTACATTGGAGAGACCAAACAGCCACTTCACAAGCGCATGGCACAACACAGAAGAGCCACCTCCACAGGACAAGACTCAGCTGTCCATCTGCATCTTAAGGATAAAGGACACTCTTTCGAGGATGCCAATGTTCACATTTTGGACAGAGAGGACAGATGGTTTGAAAGAGGAGTGAAAGAAGCCATCTATGTCCACTGTGAGCGACCATCTTTGAACAGAGGCGGTGGTTTACGACACCAACTCTCTGCCATCTATAATCCAGTTTTGAGATCCCTTCCCAGACGCCTTAACGCCCACTCACATCCTGGGCCATCTGACCTCAGGAATTCGCATGATAAGGTGGGGCCAGGTTTCACAATGAACACACCCGAAACTCTGGCTGATTGGGACCCACACCCAGTTTCACACCTTGGCTCAGGCGATTAGAGGATCATCAGGGGTCCTTTTGTCCCTCTGTGGGGGGTCACTCCCACTAGGTTTATATCTGGGACTCTCCGCCATTTGACCTTAGAACTGAAGAGCTTCTTGGATGAGAGGTGAAACGTCTTCAAGCAACTTAAAGAAGTCCAGACGCTTTTCTTTGCAAGCTCCTTTGACATTTAAGCCCTCTCTTCCCTTCAGCCCTTGTCGTGTCATTGATGTTATGTTGTCGTTTCCCCCTGCGTTCAGCCAGCCAGCCATTGAGTCTTTCAGTCAGTCGTCCAGCCAGCCATTCAGTCTTTCAGTCAGTCGTCCAGCCAGCCAGCCATTTTCTACCTCTGTTCTGTTCACCCACTCCTTATAATAAACCTTCACCAGTCTTCACCTACCTGCGAGTCCTGCGTTTGGGTTCCTTCTTCCTCGCCTCCACACAACGCCTGACAAACCTGACCATTAGCTGAACTCACAGGTCCTCAGGTGTATGACAGGTCACTGCCTGTCATACACAGCTGCAGCTTACAGAGACATGTGTGTTTAAATGATTATTCATTGTTCTTCATGTGTATAGAAGAGCATCATAAAGGGTAAACATTTCTCTTTTACAGCCAAATGTGTTTGCATCACTTCTCAGGTTTTCTTTAACATGATGGAGGAATAAGTACTGCAGTGTGGTTTCATGCAATCACATGAAATAAAGGACAAAGAGAGTCTACAAAAGTATAAAGATATAGGTTATTATTCACATTCAGGCATCCATATCGAAAACTCTAACATTTCAACTCGAGTGAGTCCACCACTGTGCAATATCACTACAATATGTTACAATATGCATGTTTCTATGTACTGAGTATTTACTGCCATGAATTTTCAAATACTTGATAGGTGTAGGTACCATGAAGTATCTACTGTTTTTGTATTTTAAAATCACAGGCATTACAGCCTCAGAGAGAGCCAACAGTGAGCAGCACTTTCTGAGAGTGGAGAGAAGAAACTTCCTTAAACAGGAAGTGACCTCTGGGAGAACCAGGCTGCATCATTCCCTCACCCAAACAGGCTGTGGTGATTTCATTTGGGGTGCCGCTGCCACGACCAACCACAAAAACGGAGTGAAGTAAAAGATGTTGGCAGATTATATTCATATTTGAATCTCTGTGGGTCGACCAGAACACCTGCCCAGCCTGAATCCCCACAGTGAAGAACAACGGTGCAAGTCAATGAGTCAAACTCCCAACGTTAGTTTGTTAGACCTGGGCAAGTATGATGACCTTTGCTCTATTTTAAGAAAAAATAGAGTAACACAAGAACACAGACACTCAGTTGAATGGAAATGGTGGTGACTTCCATTTAGAGGACTGAATCTGTCCCACATCCTCCACGTACACAGATTTCATTTATTTATTTATTTTTTTGCTTTCACAGTTGGCCTCGCTGCAAACGTGGAAATAATCATATGATGTTTCTCATTCTGTACATTCACCTTTATTTTAAAGGTGAATGTACAGAATGTTAATAATAAATATATAATAATAATGTTTGTAATCTGAACAGTCTATCATTGTTTTCGCACCTGCTCAGCTTCACTTTTATTACCTGATAGAGCACGGCAGTGACCTCACTCTATACCAAAATCTCACAACTCCAAAATATTAAAGAAAAACTGTTCATTTTATACTTTATAACCACATTACACAAAAAGAAAAACAGAGCTGTTCGCATATTTAACTGATTAGAAAGCAGACTCTACAGCTGAAGTTCAAAGCTTCAAAGTCAGACACATTGTTTCCTGTTAGAACAAACTGGCCACTCTGTGTGCTGAACTAAAATTATAATAATACATGAAAACACTTCACATTTTACACTTCATGATGTTCATAACAGCTCATTCGTAATCAGAGAGAAACTCCGAGAACAACACGAGGCCACGAGGAAGACTCAGACAAATCCAGGAGCTCAGGATTAAAGTTAAAATATGCTGCTTTGTTTTAAGATAAAAGTCTGAATATTATAAAGTGATGCTAAGTTGTGACATATTTAAGAATAAGTTAGCATTTTTACAAGAAGAGTCAAAGCATTTTACTGTTTTGCTGAAGTTCTGACATATTTCAAGAATAAAATTGTAATTTTATATCTGAGTCTTTATATTTTTAGATTAAAAATTTGTAGATTAAATAAAGTTTATACAGATTAAAACATTTGACTTTTTGATTAAACCACTGAAGCTGTAACTCAGAGTCATAACACTGTGAATATGGTGTTTTTGTCCGAAAGCTTTTAATCCACAGCTATTGTTCAAGCTGAAAGCTGCAAAAACAGGAACTGCTAACACAGACGTCTTGTGGTTGTACGAGTAACTGCAAGTAGTTTAGAATTTATCACCATTGTATCCATGGAAACAAGCTCATGAACTCATTTTTTGCGTCGTGGATTGCTGAGGTCGACACACTCACGGTTGATCAGATTTGTTGTGCTCATCAAGTCTTTCTCTAAATAATAAAAATTCACCACTTAGTTCAGTTTGATCGAATGAAATGACGACTTTGTTCTGACGTGATTTCATTGTGTTAAAATTGACCTGAAATTGAAGTTATCTCTTCTACTGGCCTCGGGGTTTTGCTTCATCGTTTTCTCAGATCGACCCAGCCTGAAACCCTCGTGAGATTTTATGATCGTATTTGACTGTTAAAAAAACCAACCAAATGAATCTACTTTAGATGACCCATAACCTCCTTCACAGAGGTAGCAACCCTATGTAGCTTCTGTGGATGACATATTTGAAACTCATTTGGAAAAACTCTAAACTTTGGACGATTTCAGAGATGTGAGGTTTACACACACTGGCCGGTCTGGAGCGGTTTCTGGTCCAGCCTGGATGGAGATGTGCTCCATCTTTCTGTGCTATAAATAAGCTGTAATCATCAGGTAACAGAAAAGTCAACTCCCTCAGCTCTAAAGAATCTGAGCAGGGCAGGATGCCAGCTAAATGTTAGAAAGATGAGCTTGTAAGTGATCAGCACTCCTGTCCTAACGCTTCACTGTTGTTACATTTACACAAACACACACTGTACATGTCCATGCCGAGTCCATTTGTTCTCATTCATAAATCAAGGACTTTCATCCAGAGGGGCTGGTGTCACTGGTTGGCCTCCTCTTCCTCAGGTCTGTCTGAGTGGAGGTCTGCTCCTCTTTTCCCAGAATGCAGTCTTGTATCCTCTCAGCTGTTTGTCCTTCTTCCTCTTCACAGGAGCGTTCTCAGCTCTGAGGACAAAGAGAGGACACGTCTCTGAGTGTTCTCAGTCCACAATGTGTCTTCAATAGTGTGTGTGTCACATGTGCTTACTTTGGTTTCTCCTGGACGCTGCAGAACTTCATGCACTCAGCATCCTCTGAATCCGTGCAGCGGCAGCGGCTCAACTCCCTCCTCACTCGCACCGATCCGAACCCGTAAGGCACCAGCTGGCTGGAAGAGTCAGAGTCAGATATTCACTGTCAGATATGATGGAGGCACTGCAAACATGCATTAAACACACTCGCAGTTCTCCTGTCCGTCATCAGATATGTGCAGAGTCTGTGCAGCGGAGCATGATCACGCCAGCAGCCACACTGGCTTCAAGTTAAATCACTGCCTGATGGCATTTCTGACATATTTTGGTGTTTTCTGTTCAGAGGGAGGAACTGATGATGTGCCCACAATCTTCCCATAAGACTGAGTAAACAAACTCCTAAAAGTTCTGGTTCCATATACATCTGCACCTTCAAATGTGCAACAGATAGGTCTGACACAGGAGGCAAGTTCTGCTGTCCTGCAGGAAGGACCTGCTTACAGATTTCCTTGTTTAGATTTAAGGGAATTTTTAGAAGAGAGGTTGAACAGGGTTTCATGCACTGGTGCTTGTAATAAATCCCAGTCTGTAGGCAGAGTAGTTAAAGCTAATCAGAGCCTTTGGATGACCGCAGTAATAAACATGCCGTTTACACTGCTCTCCAGGCAGCACGGCAGAAATCCACAGGCGACAATGTTCAGTCAGACTTTCATGGAACTTATCAGCATTTTGATTTTGAGCCGAATCAAATCCAAATAAATGTCACACTGAAGAACACATATAGTATAGACTGGACACTGAAAGCTCCAAGTCTGTATAGTCACATGGATTCTGCTTTGCGTTTTGGACTGCTGGTATGTTTGTAGAGAATATCACAGCCATTATAACAAATCCATCCTGGTATGGCCTCTTGAAGAGATGGCAGTTGTTAAGCTTTAGCATCACAACCAAAGTAAGACTGTGTTTCCAAATCTTACCGATACTTAGCGTCAGTTTGTTTTGATTTGAAGTGTGTAAGAGTATTTTTACTGTTGCAGCTGTTGCAGGTGAAGCTAAACTGAGTTAGAGAGTTTGTCCACACTAGTGACAGGTATCAAGCTCAACAAATTATGATATTCACTTAGTTCACCACTAAACTAACATGATGACTGAGGACGGTGATGATGGTGGCTGACATTTCCAGATGTGTTGGGAGCAGATCATCCTGTGCGGTCGTTGAGCAAGGTCACAGGTGAGAAGAGTAAGAAAGAGGTCATCCGTCGTCTTTGGTGAGCGATCTCAGTCGGTGACTCCAGCTTTCTCAGTGTATTATTTACTCTCTGTTATTTAAGAAAGGTTATTATTGTTATCATTGTCATTTTTGGGCACTTTTCTGATTGCAGCTATATTTATCTGTGAGCATGGTGCTGATATATAAGAGCCATAGTGCTTTCACACTTTGGCTTAAAGGATGCTGCCCTTTAGTTCTGTTTGTTTGCACTGATGTGTCTTCAGATTATTTACTGTTCGTCTCAAACCTTTGCTCTTACTGGCATGTGGCATGTGAGTGTGAACTCTGTGCATACATGACAGTGAGCACACCTCTGTCAGTTTTTTCTTTCAATAAACATGAACATTAGACATAATTGTACAAAATCTCTGGAAGTCGCACCTTTTATATCACTTTTATAATGAACATTATGCTATGACACGCTCTCTGTCAATACTGTCGGCATTTCACAGTAGTTTCAAAACTTCTGATGATGCCTTCCAAGCGGTCGGAGGATAAATCTGCAAGGTAATGTGATAAATGAAGTCGTGGAAGGCAGACATATGAATGTGATGCTGTGGGTGTTCTGACCTTGTGCTAAAAGTAGCTCAATTTTATAGTTTCGTGGATTAAGACCTCACTCTTCCAGGTGAAAGCTGGCTGTGTGGCTCGGCTTAATTTTTTTTGCACTTGTTACCTTACTCAGGCCCTGAAAAAATGACTCTCACTCCCTCTGTGGAACACATGCAGACAGCTGTTGGTACACTGCTCCAGAGTTCAGCTGTTCATAATTATCTATCACTGAAACAAACATCAAGCATCTGCACCACATTTATGGCCAAAGACACAACAATGCTGCTTTTTTTTAAATACGCATTGAAACTGATATATCTCTCCACAACCCTGAAATCCGATCAAATATGTGCGCATGTAACTTCCTTAAAAACTTTTTTCAGCCATTGTTTTTACTGTGCAACTGCTAACTCGTGTACAATAAAGGAATTAAGCAAAAACCACAAACAGTTAAATAAATAAGTCAGCAGTTTTTATACAGATGTACCATTAACTCGTGTGCTAATATTTTAAAGGTGAGCAATTTGATCAAATGTAATAACATATTCAAGTGTCAGTCACTCAGACAGTAGCGGACACGGCGGTTGCCCGGGGCGGCAGCGTGGTGGGGGGTGGCATCACGGGAAAAAAAAGAAAGAAAAATTACTCGTACTCATGCCGCTCCGACGTCATGCCAGCGCATATTGGGAATGGCATAGACACCGATCGGTTTTCTATCGCCCATTTGCTGTGAGTAAGGGCGCCCTCCGTTTGCGAGGTGCGCCTGCTGCTTGTGGCACAGGGAGGAGAGGGCGGGGCGGCGGGGTATTCTCTGGCTGGCTGGAGCAGCATCTAATAACCAACCCGCAAAATAAAACAAACAAACAAACAAACAAAAAACAACAAACACGAAAACACCAGACATTATGATACAGACATATAATTTGCACCGATGGTTTTTCGAAATTCTATATAGTGAGCGCTAGAGCCCTCGGTGCGCCTGCTCGCTGCTGAAATCAAAGTAAACTTTATTGTCACCTCCGCTACATACAGAGAGACGAGACGACGAGGCTCCAGTTACAGCAGTGCAAGTAAACAAACAATGTATATAAGAAGAGTAAGAAAATAATATACACTTAAGACTAGGGGTAAAGGCATAGCCAGAGGAAGTGTTCGGCCAGGGCGCCAAACAGGCTAGGACGGCCACTGCGCTCAGATATGTGTTTGCTTGTGTGGAGTTTTATTCTGTAGCTCAGACAAAGAAGAAGATGACCTATGCTACACTAATAAGGCACACAGGTGAGATCATCACATACAGAGGCTGCAGAGCACAATGGTAATGATTCTCAACACAGCACACTGAGTTTATATCTGAAACTCAATACAACATTATAAAACTAAACCACGTACAAGTGGGCAAGCCCAACCTAGCCCTGCTTTCCTTTTGTCAGATTTTCTAATGCCCACCTGGCCTGGTCTGAAACGACCTGTGATTGGCCAGAATCTCACATCACAGGGTGCTCCCCCTGCTGGTCTAAAATCAGGGCTGGGAGGGGGAGCGAGAGTGTAGTCCCCTCTGAGACTGCTTCATTTACAATTTGCTGAAACACTACTGAGGATTTTGTCTGTCGAGAGATGCCAGAAATATGTCTGCTAGAAAAATGAAGAATGAAGAAACACAATTTCGCTGAAGAAATTTATGTTTGGTGTTTAGATTTGGGCCAGACTTTTTGCGAAACAGTGTATATTTTTAACTTTCTGGATCAAAATAAAATGGCACACGGAGTTAAGAGAGATATATCTCCTTTGTGGAACTAACAACAACCCACAGACGTCGGAAAGATGACAAACTCCCCTTCTAGTTCAGCCAAGAGTATGAATAGCTATCTTAATCTTTAACAGTTCAATCCTTTTTGAGGTTAAGCTATCAGGCAACGTTCACAGACCATCAGCCAGAGCTTCATGTAAGCAACCTGTAGAGATCAGTAACCACTGATAAATAATTCAAACAGATAAACCAGGGAGCATTTGGCTACAGCAGTGGTTCCCAAACTTTTTTTGCTGGGCCCCCTTCGTTTTACACAAAAAACGTTTGCGCATTAACACATCCTCCAACCACACACACCCATATTTTGCTCCATTGCGGTTTATTTCACACCTCAAACATTTAGTAAACAATTAAGTAAATACAAGTAAACTGGTAAACTGCAATAAATGACAGGTAGTAATAAAATAAACTACTAACTCTTTTACGCTGTCCGCACCTACACGGGTATTTTTGAAAACGCAGCCGTTTCATCCACACGTAAACGGCGTTTCGAATCACCGAAAATGGAGGATTTTTAAAACTCCTTTTTTGCGGATGAGGAATACAGGGTTTGTCTGGCAACGTCAAAGGTATGTGCCTCTTTTCACGTCAGGCTGTGCGCCATGTTATTGTTTACATGAGATGAATTGCAGAATGGCAGATGGAATTCTGTTAATCTGACTGTCTTCAGGTTTTACAAGCAGTTACTGTCCCTCCATTTACAAAGGCAGAAGCTTCTTATTTTACATGTAGTTGTTTTTTTCTTCTTCTGTGTAATAATTTTCAACATTGCTATCAATACATTTTTCAAAAAAATGCCTCTCTGTGCAAAATGGGTTTAAACAGCTGTGGGATACTGTTTGTCCATGATTTGAACAGGGAACAAATTGTGGCAGGATCAGCCTGATATTATTTTTATCTCGCTGTAACTTTACTGTATAAAGAGCTAACGTCTCCAAAATGTCAGGAGTAGTTAGTCATTACAACAAGTGTTTGTGAACTAAAAATCAAGAATGTGGGATCCTGTTTGTCCGTGATTTGAACAGCCCAGCGCTGCTCTCAAGAAGGGAAAACCAATTCTGCAGGGGAGACCTACCTCGGCACTTGTGCAGGTGAAACCAAAGGGCAGATATGCTTCACCATATTTTCTAGTCTTTGGCTTAGAATGAAGTTGGTTTGGAAACATATTCAGCTATGCTTCATCTCCTGCTTTGTGTTTCTGTGGGCGCCCGTGTAGCGTCCAAGCGTTTTGTTTTTTTCCTTTTCATACTGCGCCCCCCCTGCCATGGCTCTGCGCCCTCCCTAGGGGACGGGCCCCGCACTTTGGGAAGGTCTGGGCTACAGCATGCACATTGATGCTCTGCGGTCAGAAGTGAGTCCCTGCTTCAGACCCGCAATCAAAATCCTCGTCTCTGCTGCTAGTTTGCTATTCGTTAGTATTCCCTGGGCATGTTAAACGTTTGGAACATATTTCCCAGCAATCCATCAGTGACTTCCAAAAATGTACTCTCAACCAGAGTTTCATTTAA